TCTCAACCTGATAGCAACACATTGTAACTTTGGAGAAAAGGCTTTCATATTGTACCAGTAGCTGAGATTGTTGAAACAGTGTACAAGTTTTCAGAAGAGAAGCCCACACGTGCTTCACCGACATAAAGCTGACTGAGGATGGGCACACCTGGTCTGGGAACACAGACCACCTGTGCCACTCCAACCGTGCAAAGACTACCTGAAGCACGGCTTTGATTTGTGACCATTACCCCTGGGGCACACCTGGCCTTGGCCTGTGCAAAGAAAATCAGCCAGGAAGAAGTCCACTGCTCATCCTGTCATCAGAACCAGTGCCAGCACCTGCGTGCCATCACCTGTCTGCCCCCGGCTCCCCCTTTGAGTCTGGTTCCTTCCAAAGTTTCTTCCTTCTAGGGAGTTTTTCCTTGCCACCGTTGCCTCTGGCTTGCTCGCTGGAGGCTTTGGGCAGGAATACCATATAGCACTTTGAGACAATGTAATGTTGTGAAAATGCACTTTACAAACAAAATTGAGTTGAGCTTAGTTGAGTTGAGTTGAGTTGAGTTGAATTGAAGTGAATCAAATTGAATTGAATTGAATTGAAAGTCTAAATGAAATCCAGGCCTAGAAGTTTGCTGAAACATAAACTAATGTTTAGTCTGCTAATATACTGTAAATGTCTGGTTTTCAGATGTACACTTATATAACATATCTGTACCGATACCATGTAATATAATGTTTTTGTGAAGTAATTCACCTCTAAGTAAAAATATATCTACATTGGGAAAACATATTTGGAGAAGAATGCTTTCTTTCCCACAGTTATAATAAACTTGAATGACATGGCTTTCCATCACCGGGAATGGAGGACATAGGATGTTTCCATGTGAAGCACCTTGCTCCCATGGTGTCCAGCTGGACTGCTTCCATGCTTTGGGGAGCAGAGATTTCATGGGTTTTCCATTACTCAGAGACCCTGGCACACCTTGTTACGTGGGCAGACATTGGAGATGGTGATGGTGATCCATCGTGAAACCTGCAAAGGTGATTCTGGCACCCACAGAGGAAATGTGATGGGTGATCCCCCTGCGTTTGCTCCAGGGCTCATTATGCTTGAAGTGTTCTGGCTGCTGCAGATGGTCAGACTGTTACAACAGTCTTTGGTCTGCATGCGCTCTCCTGAACATTTCCCCTGCAGCATGATTAGTGTGGCATGCTTTTCCCAGGGTGGTTATCGCTGGCCGAGGCAGGGGTGGGAGTCAGTAAAACCGGTGAAGAAGATCCCACAGGGTGTCAATAGCCTGCACAAGAACCTCACCTTTCTTTTTCATCTTTTATGCATTGAATCTTAAGAACCAATTGTAATTAAGAGCCAGCCTAACATGCTGAGCCCTGTCTTTCTTGTCAAGTTTTTTTTTCTTTGGCTCAACCCTTCAAAATCTCTGACTGACACCAAGACAAATGGCTGAATGCAGAAATCATGGTGTCCCCTAGCAGAAGATACACATGCAGCTTCAAAATACAGGGTGGGACTTTTTCTTTGTGTTTTTTTGTTTGTTTGTTTGTTTTCTTTTTTTATTGGATGCCCTCAAAGGCTTCTGGGAACTAATGATGTGTAGGTAACTCTGCTGTTCCTCATTTGGTCTATCCATGAGAGGGACTAGCTATTGATGCCTTCAGGAGAGGGACTTTGGCGAACTATTTACATTGGATCATGGTCTTTAATGGGACTTTCTGAAAGGAATCATTGTTTATAGACAGTGAGAGAATGGAATGGGGGGGCTTTTCCCTTAGGGTTAATAAACATTAAGGGAACTGTGATGGAGACCACCTGTCTGTTGCGAAACGGCCATGATCCTACACGTACGTGTCTCTTCTTCTGTGTTTTGGCAGGTTTTCTTCTCGATTCATAGCCTGGCGTGTTTGTGTGTGCATAGCGGTGTGCATTAGTGAGTAAAGGGCACATTGTAAGCAGCCAGAGAAGATGCAGCTTGTCTCGTGAGAATGTTAAGCTTGCCCAGCCAATGAAAAGGCCTATCTGTCACGAGGTATTTAAAAGTCATCAGTGTAAAGCTGTGTGCGTTTCCACCTGCGTTATGCAACGTGACAGTTACATGATAATGCTGGTTAACAGGGCAGATCTGAAAGCAGCAGGCCGAGATCCTCTACACAGCTCCCCTTTTGTATTAAACTACTTAAATGTATTCTGCTTCTGAACCTTTTTATTTGATAAAATCATATTAATGGTCTAATTATTTTCAGGGTAAGTGTGCCTCGCAGAGCTGCAGGATTATTTTATACCTGAATGTTGGGAAGGACGTCTGTGCACGCAGCGGTAAACATTCAAGGACTTAAGAGAATGCATGTAAGCCTGTGCAGTTGCTACATTCTGGGGCATTTAGAGCACTGCCCTCATCATAAAGTTTCATTTATAGATGCCCTCACTCAATCTCAGTGCCTTTAGCAGTGTCTGTACTGAGACGGCACTCACAGTGTGTATAATGAGACTGTGCCTCACACTGTCTGGGTGTAATGAGACCACACCCTGCGTTGTCTTCATACAATCACACGGGAAGCCGGATGTGAAAAGCTCACTGACTCACAAAAGCAGGGGAGGGTCTGAGCCCGAATCCCCCCACCACTCTGTTTGCATTCACTGAGGAGCTGAGGAATTCCTCTCCTTCTGCACCACTGCCACGGCAGCCGCACCCGAAAATGGAAGGCACCACATCCTAAGGTGTTTTTGAGCTCCGCCGCCATGCTGGTGAGGGGCAGCAGCGGGAAGGAGAGGAGACCAGTGAGGGGATCGTGGTGGAGGCCCAGAGCACAGTTAAGACAGCACACCTGGACCTTTCACATGGATAGAATACAGGAGCCTCACACGCATGTCTGCACATGCACTCTCCACTGATGAAGGTTCATATGAGCTCTGCTTAAGCCCACTGGAGTGTCACCATATTCCTCTGGGTGATTTTGCTTTGTTAAGCCCGTCTTTCATTACACAGGCACACTTTTCCCTGTTTCTAATGGGAAATCTCAAGGCTACGATGGCGTAACAGATGTTCTGAAAACATCTTTCATGAGGAAAATACCTGGTTGACAAGGCCGGCCCCCTCGGCCTTATTTACTTATCATTTATTCAACAAACCATCCATCCATCCATGGATGACATACCAGGCCATCACAGAGCACACTCACACAATCACATAGATGCCATATCACTTAACTACATGTCATGGACTGCAGGTACAGACAGGAATACGAACCACACATTCAGAACATGTAAACTCCAAACACACAGAATGGAGGTGGGATTCTATATCCAATCCCTGGAGGTGCCTGCATTTACATGCCTGCAAGCAGGTCTCATCGTCTCTGTGATTTGCTAACTCCAGCCTTCAACCTGACCTGTGTCCAGTGGGCTCATCCAATTTGCTGTGGTTTCAGATACCCAGGCAGGTGGTCTCGCTGTTCCAGCTTGTGCCAATGCCTTTCTTAAACGCAGCCTGGATCTGGCAATGATTGGTGCGGCTTGTGAGCATTACTGCGCAGAAAGTGTCAACAGCTGTCAGACTGCTCATTTGGGAGGGCCAGACATCAAATTGATTACTAAATTGGATCAGTTTGCTTCTCATGAGTAAGTTTCTCATGAATGTGTTGATATAGCTGAGCTGACAGTTGTGGCCCATGGGCATCAGCCGTCTGTAGCTGAAAGTGCTTTGAGAACAGGACAAGATGGAGGCGGGAATCTGGTTCTGAGTCTGACATGGAAGAGAAATGGCTAGAATTACACACAAAAATGAATGCAAAAACTGAGGGAACAGGGAATCTCTCTACAGTCTTACACCCAGCAGCTGGGCTTGTATCTAATTGGTAAAGTAGTTTATCAAACTGTTTACAGAGAAAATGACACCTGGAAAATCTTTTATAATCAATTGTAACAAGTTTTCCTTGTCACACACTAGCACCCCCTACAGGACTGGCAAGAGAACACAATTCATATAGGTTAAAATGTATTGCATAGGGAAGGCACTAAAAGGAAGTGTGCACTTTCCCTGCTCCACTGTTTGTCTCTATTCTGTTTTTTTAGTACTTATATTTATTCTTTGGTGGCATAACTGGAGCTCCACTTAATTATTTTCCTAGTTCTCATTTCTGGCATATTTGCTAGTCCTTTTCTTGAATTTCCCGACACACAAAGCAAATCATACTGTACTGGAAAGTCTTATATGCTACGATGTGATTTTCCCCTTAATGCATTATGTAATAACTTGACAAAGTGTCAATGAAGATATCCATCTTGGTTGTTTATTACATAACACACGGTATTACATTTTCATCATTGAAAAAGTGCAACTCCCACATTTTGTAATAACCGCTGTAATATGTAATAATTTATTACAAAATGCAGTGAAATATATTACATGTTGCTTTCAAGCTGTTTATTACAAAATGCGGCAGGTTATTACAAAATGCGGGTGCTGTTACATAATGAAGTGGAAATTTGTTACATTTTGTCGAGTTATTACATAGTGTGGCATTATTACATAATGCATTTGTAACAGTTGTGTCAGTGATAGTGATTGAGCAAGGGGGGAAGCTGTAAGCCTGATGCAGCAGTTACACACTCAGAATTTCATAAACGAAAATGGGGCTAAATCAGGAGTTTATGTTTCATTTTAAGTTTGGCTAACTGCAAGGCCGCCATTACACACCTGATCATTGTGGTATCCCACTCCTACTCTTTCTCTGGTGTGGTCCACTTCTCCCCCCTTCCAATGCTTCTGTCATCTCTGTTAAGTGGCATAAGGAGATGAGGGCCGCTAATCCTCAAATGGGCGGGAGCTTGGAAAAATAATGACTCGCAGCACTAGGCATGCAGTCCCTGACCATGTGACTCCTGTAGGGCAACAACCCTGCCATCTAGAGATTACTCCGCACACATGCACGCGGTCCATGCACTGAATATTTACCCTTTTGCTGATGTTCTCCTCCAATGCCCCCCCCCCCCTCCCTTCCAGGGTTCCAAGTTCCAGGAGGCATGCTCAGGGCGGGACTGCAGTGTAAGATGCCCGTGCTACTCGGAGAAAGGCGGCAGGGTAGGACCCTAACATTCCTCTTCACTCTCCCACCAGTAGGAGGTGCAAGTGTTATCAGTGCTTTCTCATCACGGAAGGTAACTGTGCTTATGTGCTTTCACTGCAAGTCTGGGAAGGGAGGTCCAGCAGCCTGTGGAACCTCTCTGGCCCAGTCATTTAAAGTCCTGCATTCTTCAACTTGTATGAGCATGGGCCTGCATGAACCTGAAATGTCAGTGTGAGCCCAGCCCAGGCCCAACTGACCCAAGCCCAAATATTTATGGAATTTCTCAGCCCAAAACCAACTTATACCTGTAGCCAACTTTTTTGATGTTGTGTAAGACACACATAATAAACACACTTTTACACAAATGTGATGTTTCAAAAGCATAACTAGGCAATTCTGAAGTCTTCTCTATAAACCTGTTATGGTGTCCGCCTTAGCACAACAAATACAAGCCCAAGCTCGATCCGAAACTAACCGATACAGGAAAAAATTGGCCCGAGCCCAAATCTGCCAGTGACCTCAGGCTCAATTGGGCTTGCAAACCTATAGTATAAGGAAATCAGGGTGCCAGCATAGTCTCTCCCTGTGTTACATTCTGTAGTTCACCAGACCACTGTGTGGGTGCTAAACAGCAGAAACCTCATGACCTTCAATCTCGCAGGGGCAGCTGAACTCCCTTTGGCAGGTCAACTGTCCATGCCAGCTGCCCCACGGCATAAATTTTGGCAGGGCTCATCTGGATGTGTTATCCACTGGGGAGGGGGGGGGGCTCCCCAAGGCCATGGTGTGAGCCAATCAGTAGGTCCCCAGTGAGCACGCTCATTAACACCTAAGCACCTACCAGAAGCTGCCTGCCCAACCGTCCAACCCCTACTCCGTAATTACTGGCTGGGCTTCTTCAGTGCTCATAGGCAAGCCTTGCTCCGAGGCAGCAGATAAGTGCTGTGCAGATCCGGTGCTGTTCAACTGACAACAAAATGACAGCTTTGCGAAATGCCATGAATACTTATACTTCCGGATTTTTCCTAAGGCGCAGTGCTAAGCGTATGAGGCCCACATCAGTGCCGGCTGGGGCCGGTGACTCACTGCGGTGTTCAAAAGTATCTTTTTACTTTCTCCTGAAGGAGCCCGCAGAGCACATGACTTGTTGAAGATGGGGAGGGAGCGAGGAAGATAAGGTTTGGGGGGGGTAATCACTGCAGCTGTGAACACAGGGTCATAGCCCTTGTTATGAGCGAGAGGTTTGCCTAATAGACAGAAATAACTGCGTTTGTCTGTGTAGCATATATCATAACCCTCCTGTAGAGCTCCTGTCAAGGAGGTGCATGTTTTCATCTCGCTGTGGCAGCCATGCAACCTTAGACACAGATGTCTGAAGGCATTGTATCCCAGGGTCTTCGAGCAGAGGCCGCTCAGTCAATCTGTGGCTCAGTGGGTAAGGACTCTGTACCTGAAGTTAGACAGTGAAAGGGATTTGTTTGCTGAGCCTGTGATCAAGACCCTTGACCCCTGTTGCTCTTCAGACTGGCAGACCCTGCTTCCTCAGTTTTGTGTTGCTTTGGATAAAAGCATCTGTTAAATAAATAAATGTTTATTGCCATATTTATATGTGAAAGACTGCTATACTTAGGGAGGATCATTAATGATAAAAAAAAGACCCAATTCTTGTTTCTTGGATTCTTGCACTGTCCACAAGCTGATGATACTAATCACCTGAGGTAGAACACAGTGTTAACATGACTTTTGGTGGACATATCTATACATGACACTGTTTTGTTTGTTTGGATATTGCCGCTTTCCATTTGTATCTAAAGATAAACAGCACTGAGTCTTTGTATATATACTCGAATCTTGTCCTCCACTCCTGCCTTGGTGTCTTCTACTCAGGGCTAAAAAGATTAATTGCTTCTAACATAACATTTTATGGCAATCAATTCATTCCTGTTTCTCTCCTGCTTGAATTGAAGTGACATGGGTGTTTGTAGTATTCCAGGTGAGCTCAGGAGGATCCACCACACTTGTGGGCTAAAATTCTCCACATTTGAACATGCATCCAAGCTATCGCACACCCCTGAATTGTCCCTCACACACCAATCACAGCCCCTTATTTGTCCCTCACACACCAATCACGGCCTCTGATCTATCCCTCACACACCAATCACGGCCTCTGATCTGTCCCTCACACCCCAATCACGGCCTCTGATCTGTCCCTCACACACCAATCATGGCCTCTGATCTATCCCTCACACACCAATCACGGCCCCTGATTTGTCCCTCACACACCAATCACAGCCCCTGATTTGTCCCTCACACACCAATCAAGGTCTCTGTTCTGTCCCTCACACATCAATCATGGCCTCTGATCTGTCCCTCACACACCAATCACAGCCTCTGATCTGTCCCTCACACACCAATCAAGGTCTCTGTTCTGTCCCTCACACATCAATCATGGCCTCTGATCTGTCCCTCACACACCGATCACGGCCTCTGATCTGTCCCTCACACACCAATCAAGGTCTCTGATCTGTCCCTCACACACCAATCACAGCCCCTGATTTGTCCCTCACACACCAATCAAGGTCTCTGATCTGTCCCTCAAACCCCAATCATAGCTGATCTAAGGCAAACTGTGTTGCCAGTTAACTACCCCCTTCGTCTCCCACCCCACACACACATTTAGGTCTTTGTTTAACCACAACACAAATAATTTGACTACACTGAAATGAAATGTTTCAGGCACTTAACCTCTGCAGAAAGAACATGGGGCAATCTGCTGTTTCCTTTCCCTCGTTTGTGGGATGGCACCAGCAAGGGATTATGGGAAGAACCAAGAACAGAGATATCCCTCTCCAACCTGCTTGTCAAAAGGCAGGAATAGCTCATGACTTCCTTGGGTGATTGTGCCTATAGACTTTTATATATAAATCACTCACTTTCCATTTCATCACCCTAGCCTGCTGGCTTTGTGGCGTAATCCAGTTGGCAGAGGTGAAGTCAAGCCCAAAGGGCACTGTATGTCACAATGAAATAAAACAGAACAAAAACCATGAATTTAGCGAGTTGTTTTCTCAGGCTTTGAACAATTGCTGATCAACTTTGAGACTTCAGTTAATAATTTCCCTTTTGGTTCATGTCATAATCAATGAGGGTTAAGCCTCTGTTGTATTGGTGTTGGTATCGGTATTGTTCTCAATGCATATTCAGTAGCTGTTCACCCACAGTGACTCCCTGCTAGTAGCTGGGAATCTTGCAATTTTTCTTTTGAGTGGATTTTCACCTGTGTGTGTAATTTTATTGCTGGTTTGACAGCATAGCCGCCTTTATATATACAGTGGTACCTCAGTTCTCGAACTCATTAGAACTCGATTTTCTTAAAAGTCGAACCAACCAGTTAAAAAAAAAAATTACCTAGAACTCGATCTGAATCTCAGAAATCAAACCGTGAACGCCGACCTAAGATAACTTGTACACTCGGGGAAATGAGTCACGCAGCACGTAACGCTTCAGTTAGCCTCACATTCACTGTGATAGCATCGTGCATGTTTACACTAGCTGAATACATATATTTAGACAGTAAAAATAAATGTAGACAATGATAGACAGTAACAGTAATTATTATTATATAATAAAATACATTTAAAAATAAAGATTTCTTATTAATTATTTTAATATAAATAATAAACCATTAATACATTTAATTATAATAATATTGTCGTGCCGAGTGGGGACAGAACAGAGACAAAGGCGTAGACGTCAGGGTATCGGGGAATAAGGGGTTTAATTACAGGTAAGGCAGGCAAAACGCAGACGGACAATACAATGACCGGACTGGGGAAACAAACTGAAAAGCGGACTAAATACAGAGGACTAATGACAACAATCAGAAACAGCTGATCATACGGGGATTCCACACAGGGTTAACGAGGGGGCGTGGCACACGGAAGGAGCAGACGATCGGGGAATGACACTTTTTTTTTTTTTAACTTTACACATTGTTTGGATACATTTATTTTCTTACCTAGAAAATTACTGTTTTGATAAATTTGCTTAGATGTGTTTAGTACAGTATATGCTTTTCTTGTTTTGTCCGGTTCATTTTGTGTGTAAATGCTAAAAAAACATATTTCGGTGTAATTTTTTGGGGCCGGGAACCAATTAATTGGTTTTCCATTATTTCTTATGGGGAAAATTCGATCAGAACTCGAAATTTTTAGGATTCGATCCAGAGTTCTGAACGGATTAAGTTCGATATATATATATATATATATACACGAATGTGCATCGGCCCGATGTCAGGACGCAGGATATGACAGCAGTCATTATTTATGTCTCATGACCCTGGACCTGCGAGTAAAACAACAATTAGAGGTGGTGTCTCTACCTAGAAGGTGCCCTTTACAGTCCGCCCTGCAGTAAATCACATGGTGGATCGCATATTACACACCTTGTTCCATTCGCGTTCAGGCTTAACTGCTGGGTAGTAATTTGCCTGCATTTGGTTTCCCTTGTTCTGAGGGCTCTGGGCTGTAGCTCTGTTCTCTGCAGGCGTGAGGCTGTGATATAGAGGGTAGACATGAGGAGGGCAAGCCGTACCGGCCTAGGTCGCTCTGATATTGTTACCCTTTGCTATTGGCTTGGCTTCTTCTGATTTGTCTTGAGATGGTTGCAAATGATGCACCATTCAGACTCTGTTTTTGGGGCCACATTAGAGAAAACTCAAGGCTGACAGCAGCAAGATTTAGAAGAAAAGTATCCAGGTTTTCACTTTCAATGAAGTTAACTGGTGCACCTTATGCCCCTCTGCAACCTAGCCCAGAATACGTGGTTGCAAGATGGATGGATGGATGGATGGATGCCTACAGGTCAAAACCTGGATTTCAATCATTTTCATTTGTGGTGACCAACAAAGCCTGGTTTCTATGGCGATGATCTACCCTGCTGTGTGCAGCACAATCCAGTCCTGTGTATGTGGATGCCACTGGGCTGTCGCATAAACAGACTCTAAGCCATGTCC